AGAACGCTCAATGTTTGTTTACATGTCCGAAAGCGTGATTGTGGTGAAATCTTTACTGAAGTAGACATTTCTTGCAGTTTTTGTTCGTTAGTACTCGGTGGTCTACAGAATGAATCATGATCTTCATTTAGATCGGAATGTTTCAGTGTATCATGTTGATCAAAACGTGTTGCTGTGAGGTAATCATGAATATCAGGATCAGGTATCATGGATTGATAAGCATCGGAAAGGTTGAAGTCATCTTTATCTGATGAATCATTAGAACTTTCTGCAGTTGGGATTTGATGTTGACCTGGCAAATCAATCATTTTGGATTCATCAATTGTGTCATAGACTCTGTCATAATGATCCTGCTCTTCGTGGCTGTTTTCTGTATTATTTTAATTTCGGATGAAGACCAAAAGGCAAACATGAGTACTCAAAACACAATATATAAAATTGAGGCACACAAAACCGAACAAAACTCGGGGGTGATCTCAGTTGCTCCGGAAGGGTGAAAAGAGGACGGAATTGTCTTGACCAGAATTGGAAAATATTCGTCGTCATCTCTGATACAGATAGTCCATAACAATCTACCAACTTGTGATGGTGTCCGAAAAATGTTTAGAAGGGGAATTTCAACTTCACCACTTGTAACTGTTGGTTTAATAGCTTCCTTTTGAGCAGCAACCCTCTATCAAGTAAATAAATATAGAAAATGCTAGCTCTTGAATATAGTTAAAAGTATCAGTGAGTATAACATCACTGAAACAAAATGGAAAACTAATTTCCTCCGATTTTTATCACACGTTGAGTAAACTTTATTTATGAAATATACAATACGACGGAATACAACAATTTCGTTCCTTTTTTCACAGAATCTATAGTCTCTAGAACATATACTGTCATTCAGTGGCTCAAAAAATAATTCTTATGCGATTAAACTTGTTCAAGAATTTTGATATGTCTTTTAGAATTTCTTTGGAAGTTCACTTATATTCCATCCGCTTTCAACTGATCTACAACCGATCATATTCTTAATATTTCATATCCACAAACTGTCTTGTTGCAGCATTGTTACACTTATTCTCCTTGTTAATAGTATGAAAAAAATATCTGCTTAAAACATGTTGTTTTCATTAATTTGTTTTCGTAGATGCGTTACTGAAGCCGCCTTTGTTATTGTATAATTATCTGAGTAAAAACGAAATGTCAGCTGTAATTCCGCCAAATATGGTCACCCTGAGAAAATACAAACTTTACCTATAAGTCAACATCAAACACTATTGTAATAAAAATCAGCTCAACCGCACGCATCATTACGAAATTCCGGACAAGAACCTTTTTACGCCAAAAATCGGTTAATTGGAATACACAACTCGATCTTAAAGTGATCCTTATATACCTCTTTACAAAACATTAGAGTGTTTATGACGTCTGTACACTAAATCTATTGGATGTGTACTGATAAATATTTTAGTCTTTGAAAACATGCTTTATTTACTAGTTGTAATTGACTTATAACTAGCTTTGTAGTAATCGTAGATCGACACTTTGTGTTTTTTGATTATTTTTTGTTAGTTTTTCTTTGTGCTTCGTATAGACCTGATTAATTCTTTCCATCTTATTTTAACACTTTGTTCTTATGTTACACTACTCTCCAATGTAATGCTTTTTTTCGTTTATTGTTTTGTCATAAATCACGCCGTTTGTGGAACTTTACTACAAGATTAGAATAACTGTAATATCCGTTACTGACAATTACTCATTTCAACTGATCATGACATTTCTGATTTAATTTGCCTATTTCGTTCAATCGTTTAATTTTGAGTTTATTATGTTTATCATTTACACTATCCTATTGGAGGCAATAAAGAATATATATATATTTCACCTTTAATGGTGAAAATTACCTACAGATAAACGATACAGCGATGGGGACGAAAATGGCACCGTCTTACGCCAATATTTTCATGGGCAAATTAGAGAAACAAATTATTTCAACATCTTTATCTAAACCTCTGTCTTGGTTCCATTTCATCGATGATGTTGATATGAAATGGATTGAATCCCAACAAAAATTGGATGATTTTATCAGACATGCAAACAACGCCCACCAGTCAATTAAATTTACATATGAAATTTCCGACTCTAAAATATCTTTCTTAGACACTACTACATCTATAAAGGACGGTATCATATCAACAGACCTCTACTGTAAACCTACAGATAAACATCAGAACATTTCTCCCCAAAGCTGTCACTCTGACCACTGTACAAAAAGTATCCCGTACAGTCAAGCTCTCAGAATAAGGAAGATTTGCTCCTCTGAGGAGGCTGTCACTAAACGGTTACAGGAACTTCGCGGATTTTTTACCAAACGAGGTTATTAAAATTGGGACATAGATAAGGGGGTTGCGCGTGCCAACAATAACAGCCGCAATGACCTGTTATAGTACAAACAGAAGAGTCGCAGTAAAATAGTTCCGTTTGTTTTAACATACAATCCTGCCTTTACTAACCTTTACGTTTGGTCCGTGCTAATTGGCAAATTATTGCCAAGCACCCAAAATTATCCAAGACCTTTCCCAATCCTCCTGTCTTAGCTTTTCGAAGACCGGCAAGTCTGAAAGACTTATTAGTGAGAGCTGACGTCTCCTCTAAAAAAATCGGTTCAACTGCAGGATTGTGCAAGTCGTGTGGTAACAGACGATGTCTGACTTGCCAACATATACTAAATACTCAAACATTTACTTGCCACTCCATTGGGTCTGTGTACACTATATTTTGTAATGTAACTTGCAAAACCCAAGATGTTGTATCCCTTCTTGAGTGTCGATGTGGCATGCAGTATGTTGGCGAGACAGAACAGCCATTCAACAAACGCATGAATGGTCATCGAAGTGACTACACCTGCAAGCCCGACCTCCCCGTAAGTCGTCATTTGAGATCACCTGGGCACGCCCAAGCTGATCTCAAAAACCTTACCATCACAATTATAGACCACAACGAGGGTTGGTCAAGGGCCGACAGACTTGCTCGGGAAAGGTTTTGGATAAGAAAGCTTAGGACAGTTTCCCCAGAGGGCTTAAATGAAAACAACATAGAATGTTTCACTCATTTTCCCTACCATCACTCATTTACCTGCCATCACTTATTTTCCTGCCATCACTTGTTTCCAGTAACTCCAGCTTCTGTACTAGACTCCTACATTTTTAAGGAATTTTTTAATTATACTAGTTTTAATTACAGGGTTCTACTCATTTGGGATGGATGTAAAAGTACGTAGTCCCGTTCAATTTTTTTTCTTATCATTATCAAACTGCTATTTATTTGGGATGTTTAAATACGCAGCCTCTGTTTTAATTACTCTACCGTTGTCAAATTTGAAATATTATACAAGCTTAGATCGGTCAGTGTCGTTTGTTGGGAATGTATTTCCACGCAGTTGTTGTAACATCTTAACTGTCGTCACCTTTGGACTTTTAAAGTTGTGTAAGCTCATATCGCAAATTATTACTATTTTTATTTTAGGTATGTCGTTGCGCCCTGTTTGGAAATTGTAGAATTTTACTAGCGTCTCTATGATGTTCTGGTAAAACTGTTTTTTTGTATAGAATTCAAGATTGCTATAGTTTTATAATCAGAATAGGTTGATAAGATTCATTTTACATCATGATCATACTGATGAAGGATATCTGTTATCCGAAATATTTATAGTTACATTCGTTCATTTTATTGTTATTTTTTGGTGATGTTGTACACCTTTAGACTGGTTATATATTATATTGTGTAGTGTACTGTATCATAATTATATGATCCACCGCCCCGTAAGATTTATCGTTGGCTATTATTCAGTCATTTAATATATGTATATATATATATATATATATATCTGTGGGCTCTTGCAAGGGTTGCGGAAACAAACGATGTCTGACTTGCAAACAAATACTGGTTACCCAGACTTTTAACAGTCACTCCACTGGTACAGAATACACCATATTTTGCAATGTTAATTGCAAGACTACAAATGTTGTGTATCTTCTACAGTGTAAATGTCGTAAACAGTATGTTGGCGAGTCAGAACAGCCGTTTCACAAACGAATGAACGGTCATCCTAGCGACTACCAATGCAAGCCAGACCTCCCTCTCAGTCGACATTTGAGATCCCCTGGCCACACTAAGGCAGATCTCAATCGACTGACCATTACAATCATTGACCACAACTCTGCTTGGTCTAGGGAGGATAGACTCACTCGGGAAAGATTTTGGATAAGAAAATTAACAACTTTGGCACCAAATGGGATAAATGAAAAGATGTAGTTCGACTCCATGCAGTGCTTCACATTTGGGTTATATTACTTATTATTACAGTCTCTGTTTCTATTTCTTTACCTTACTCATCTCTAAACTAAATCTGTTGAATATACCAATTTAAATTAGTTATATAACCTATGTCGTGTTTAACACATATTTAGAATTGTGCAAGCGTCTTACCTGATGTTCGGTTTGACTTTTTTATTGTATAAATTTCAAGATTTTTATAGTTTAATCTTCGTAGACTGATATATGATTCATTCAACATCACAATCATATTTACTGATGAAGGATATCTGTTATCCGAAATATTTATAAATAACTACATTTATAGTTCCTTTTTGTGTTATTGGTGTTGTTGTGTACACTTTTTAGGCGTTTATATAATTTATTTATTGTGTACATGTATCGTTACTCGTAACGATCCAGCGCCTTCGTGGGAAAAATCGTTGACTATTATTCAGATGTTTTTTATATATATATATATATGTGACTATACGGTATTGTTTTTGCTCATTATCAAAGACTTTACGGTATAATTGCTTACCTCCAACTCATTTGGACTCTGAAGGATAGTATCTCTTTTGCAATCATACTATATATCCTTATTTACATACATCAGTATTTTTGTAAGGCGACTATCCAAAGCTCATTTTAAAAGGTAATATATTTTAACATAATTCAAGAGAAATCAAGAATAAAACTGTCGTTGTACTTTGATTTATTCAATAACAGAACAAAATAGAAAATTTTAGATAGAAAATATCCACTGAAAGAATTATGAAACAGTGAGATTCAATGATCTTGCGATTAAGAATGCAAAACTATAGGTCTGCCTTTTTCAATAGATGGAAATTAATGGGCAAAACCTTTCGATAGAATAACTAAATACAGTTCCAAGAAATATCTGTTAACACAAACTGTCTTTGTACAATACACATACTATAAAATAAAATGTTTGACCAAATCTCAAATACATACCCCTCAAAGTTGAGTTGAACGACAACTAATAAATCTACTTTAACAAAGTTAAGCAAAAATTGGAATTTTCAAGAAGGTATCTGCCGTATTACATTACATTTTCTGATAAAAGTTTTTTGTTAGGCTAGTGAATATCATTTTTTATCTTTGTGATTTACAAAAATATGGTCTGATTAATTTCAATCTTTAGCATGTTTAGAATGGGTTATCATTTATGAAGATATACCAAAATGCGTTAATTTTTCCAAACTTACGGATCTAAGCAGCCGGTAATTCTAACCAGAAAACTGCAAAATGCAAAAGGATATTTATGTAGAATGGAAACCTCGTTTTACTAATTAAATATGCTGTGTCAAGTTTCCATCTATACATAACAGTTTAACATGTTTAAGATAATAAGCAAACATGAAAATTAGTCGATTGAAGATGTCAATAATATTGACCTATGTGTAGAATTTGCGTTGATAATCAAAGTTTGGTTTATACTTTTATCATATGAGGTAAAAAAAAACAACAACATTAGAATTAGTCAATCATCAATGTCAATTTCCTTTAAGCCGTTACTATTTGTTGATCTTACTTTGCTGATTATTTTTGCTTTTTATAGTTTTTCGTTATCTACAAAGGTTTTGCAAACAAAACCCCAAGATGAGTCGCTAAAAATCTAAATTTAAGGAAACTAACTCATATAAGAGGTCACCGATAATTTCGGCAATGTTTACTTATTTGTAGGTCTTATTTTGACGGTCATCTTTGTTATTACTGTTTCTCTCTATCTCTTATTGTTTTCAACATTACAGCAAAACTTTTAACTTATTAATAAAAATCCTTAATTAAGGCAAGTAACTCATATAATGCAGGAGTTGTTTAATACATTTAGTAAACCCCTTGTGAACAGAAACCTCTTCGAGCGTTTAGTTAGTTATACATCATTGGCTGTTAAAGTTTTGGTATGAAAGTTAATGATGAAGGTATATCTAGAAAAGCGCTTCAGACGGAACCATTTTATAAACTGTTATTGTCATTAGTTCCAGCAGATTTTGACATTCTAAAAATGTTTCTTTGCGATAGATATCCTCTGTCTAACAGTTTTTGAAATAAAAGATAATGCTTACATTTTACTCCTATGTTTAATTTTGAGATTTGATGGCCATGTTGATCATCGGATCATTTTTAGCCTGATCACTGTTGATATCAAGGGACGATTTTGGCCAAGTTTGGTTCCATTGTAGTTTAAGAGGAGAAGATTTGGGTTATAAAAAAGTACCACGATGGACGACGACGATGATGAACTTCGAATACCAATTGAGGAGAATAGCTTTTGCTTTGCATTTAATACAATACTATATTTCGGTTGAAATCGTTTCCGGCTGTTTTACTCATATTTGTGAAGAAATTGTACAGTCCTAACATGTGAACTTTAATACATGATAACTAATAATTCAAACAAACAAAACAAACACTGGTATTCACATTTTCACTATAGTACATTTTCATTTTTTTGTTACTTTTGAATAAAATTATACATCTTTTATGCTTCCAATATTTCATTTGAATAAGATTTCATTTGACCAAAATGTCACTTCTTGAATATGATATACAAAAACAACAACAAAATATAAACAAAACCTAACAAGTAAGATGTTAAAATTCAATGCAATAACAAGAAGAAAGTTTTCATAAATAAGTTTCTAGAACCCTTCTGGTCCAATGTTTGTATGGTCGAAAATTGAAAACATTTCGAATTGGTTGATTGTTTAAAGCATGACATTCAGGAAGTTTGGTACTGTTCTCGCAGAAAGATTAATCCACCAGCATCCGTTCGCCGAAGGGCTTTCATCAGTACATATACCGATGGTTTGTCTTTGCTGGATTGTCGCCATTTCTTGAGAATGTTATATAACTGACTATACATTTCCTTTGGATGGTTGTACATAGTTTCTTCTATACTGTTAAAGCTGAGTCCCAATTCAATACCAAGTTGAATAACACAGTTGCCAAGATGCTGCGTCAAGCTCTTCAAAATTTCCTCTGAAGGAGTTTCTTGTAATATACTTTCAGCAATGCCTTTGAAACAAATTCAATAATTCGTCATTAAATTATACACAGTGTTTGCATCGACGCATCTTACATTGTTTATGAATAGGGTATTTACGTTTAAAACTCTGTTATAGTAACAACATATATGTATATGTAAGACAGAAGACTTCTTTAACTTCAATACACAGTGAACGTTAATACGATATGTCAATTTATTGATGTTATGTTACCATTTATAAAGTGTTAATTGTATTTTCCGTTTAATTTTACTCACCTGTTAAATTGGTTTCTTCTCTGACTATCTGTTGTATAATATATGAAAACCATTTAATTATTTATTAGAAATTCATTCATGGTATTTAAATTTCCCCATTTAAAAGGTAAATATGTAGGCATGAGACACGATTATTAGTTTCTACCTTTCATGTTGCATTTTCTCAATTTGATTTCACCAACCCATTGTTGTAAGATCCATGTTGCTCTGTGTAACGTATTGTGCAATGTTCTTGTTTCATATTTTCTTTCTTGTTGCATTCTTCAAATTTGGTTTTTGATTACAAACTTTTTTTCTTTTTTATGTTATAGATATCTAGATCCATACATTTGTATACAAGAACAAGGCGCGTATATAAATTCTGTAACTCATGTAATGGTCTTATTACGTTTAGAAGACATAGGTAATCTACATAGAAATATATGATTCTTTTATTATGTTGAATTATTCTGACGTACCTGACAAAGAGAATGATGTTGATCTATTCCCTTCAGAGCATTTAATAAGTCCTGCAAAGTCATTGTTTGAGTAAGTTTTTTCTTCTTTTCACACTCATACAGTGCCATCAATTGCATCCCGAGCTTCCCATTTCGTGTGAACTGATATTCTATTGTTTCCCATTCTTCTCGTGTTAATCCAAGGTGTATAATGAATTGGTCAAATACGGCAATACTGATTTGTTCCGCCAATCTCACAAAATGTTTGTCAGTTGGATGTAGTGACAGAGCTTCGGTGTTTAGCCCTTAAAATAATATTTTTCAGTTAATCAACATTCAAAATATTAAATTTAAATATATTTACATATAGGGTCTCTGTACACACATTAGTTACGCCCGGACAGGTGAACCAATTTATACATTACCTTGGTTTCTTTCTGTTCTTTTCATTCCAATGTAATCATGTTTCATCGCCCACGGTTTTATGAGAATAAACTATCTATCGATCTACCCATTAAAAAAGCATTGTATTCCAAAACGTTTAAATTACTTATGTCGCAAGTTTAAACATCCGTAATAAGTGATGCAGAAATTATCAGCATCTGAAACGTTTGTAACCAAATACTTGGAAAGCCAAAATATACATTTTTTAGAGCATGGATATCAAAAGGTCATACAAAGGTTAACAAAATTTGTCTCAATTTAACTATGCCTACGTCATTTTATCCTAAGATGGAGTAAATTTTCAATTTTATAAATCTAATGTTTATAAATAAAATGCATCATGGTATCGATCAAGTGATGGTAACAAATAAAAGATTATGATTTCCGTTCGTAAATTACAAGAATAACTTTCATCAGATGCGAACCACTTCTTTCTTTCTCATCATTTTAAAATTCTGTGTAGAAATCTCTACTTTCAGGGACATATTTGTGCAACAAAGCATACTCTTCACGTTGACTGGGCATATATGTTCTGATGTAATTTGACATCCTTTGTTAAAATCAGTATTTATTCATTAACGTAAATCATTGCTTTACAATAACCCCTAATCAGTGGGTATAGAATTAGCAATATCAGTAGAAATTCATTTAAAACCTATTTGCATCATAATGCATATTTCTTTAAAAGAAAAGTGATATAAACAGATACAGTAGATATGAACGTATTTTTATTAATTCACAGTCTTTGGATATAAAGACAATTAAACAACGATGTGATTTTTTACCGTTTCATTAAACAATAATGTTTTTCAGTCTGTATAAATAAAGATATATCTGTGGAAAACGTAAATGTTGTAGAAATGTAGCAACTCAAAATAACCAAAGGACAATAAGACGACAACACATGTCCTTAAACAATTCTTTTTGACAGGTTTCTATATAATTTATCAGGCCTTTATCGGCTTAAGTCTTAAAAAAGAAAATTATACAGAAATGGAATTACAAACATTTGAATAGAATATTAAGATCATATTTTTCTTTTTTTAAGACTAATACTTTCTAAATTGCCACAAAAAGAGGAGCATTTGAGTAGCATGCACAAAGTAACTTTTAAATAAATGATTTACCTTTGCATTCCGGGTTACATGTTTTCTTCTCCTTCAAAAGTAGAAATGAAAGCTATATCATATGTTCATCATTTATCATAAAATATAATACGGTAAATACAAATATGAGTGTATTTAACTTTGCAAAGTGAGAGTAAGAAAATGATAAATGGAAACTAGATTTTAAAAAAAATTTTCTGATATGTTTCTACTAAAACCGAATAATTTCAGTATTTGTGAAATATAGATTATTTTTTCACAATATAAACAAAGAATGTATGTCTCGCATGTACCTGAAATAGTTTAACAGGTACACGATAGAACAGTAACCCTAGAAGGCAAAATAATTTTGATTTTCACCTTCGTATACATGGATGATATGTGTAGTGAAATTTTTTATTAAAGTTTTTTGACATTTTAGTAAGGAAAGAACCCTTTCTTTCCGGATTCTGTGTTAGAAACGGGATTTCAATCTAGAATTCAGGTGATGATATTATTATTCACTGTGCTGCAGAAAATTTGCCAGTCCCAAAAAGAGGTAATTTTTATATGTTTTTTTATGCAAATGTTGATTGAAATGTGTATAAAGATTTAGCTAGAAATACCCTTTCCCTGGTAGATTTGATAAAAACTTTCGTTTGCATATTTCATGTTGTTCTACTTACTTTGTCAAAAAACCAATATAAGCAGTATTTCGATTCGTGTGTCGAGCCATTATTACACAGCCAAGTCTTATTCTCTCTTGCAACCGTCAGACGAACTAAACAGGTTTCCTTGTTGCATATCAATCCAACTTCTGCTTCAAAGAGACTGGCCACATCAACTTTGACAAATCTTTTTCCAAAGCATTCGTGATAAAAATGTAGAACCCTATGTAAAGCAGATGTCAAACATTCTTGAATACTTGCAACTACATCGGGTGAAATCAAATGTTTCGAAACTGTGTTACTCAGGTAAATTATAACCCTTTGACCTTTGGTTAAGATCAGGAGTTGATTACTGTCGTCAATATTTAATATGGCTGATTGGAGGTAGAGGCAGTCGCGTCCATTAATTTGGTAAAGGGGCCATATGTTAACTGATGCAGCAACTAGTTTAAAAGTCAAAGCAGTCGGGACAATGCTCTCTCTTAAGTGATACGCCATGCAAATGGTTTTCTGCTCTTCACTAGGCACAAGTTCAGCCGGTAATTTACTCTGAACAACGCATGGTACCAGATATGTTGCATCGTTTGTGCTACATACGTCATTGTGCTTTGGCACAACAAGAATATCAAGGTGTACCAGAACTTGTATTATGTATTCCTTGTGTTGATCGGTGGGCACAAATTCGTGAAATTTTGGTTGTGACCACAACTTAAAGAGGTGTTCTCTTTGGACTTTGCCAGTAGAAGAAATATTCTTTAAGATGCGTCTGAGATCTTTCTTTTTCGGCCAAAAATGCTTATCAGTAATGAAGGACTTCAAGATATTCACCATGGCTGTAGGCTGTACAACGATGAGATTATTGAGCCCTGGATTGTCAAAGTAAAGAATGTTCCCCAGAGAGTTCTGAACCCTTAAAAAATCCTGTAGACTATCTTCACTTAATGTGAATTCCTCGTTCAGTTGGTTTAACTCCCGAAGGTTCTCCATTGATATAAAACTGACATTTTTTGTTCGCATTTCTGAAAATTGTAACTCAAGTGGAACCCATGTAAGCGGCTTCCGTTGTCCCCATGTTGTCTGCTTGAACGCAATATCTACTAATGTGTCTTTCAAAAGGTCTATTTCTGGATCTTTTGGATTTGTTGCATTGACAAGAAATATTCTGTCATACATAATGTGTCTGTGTTTGAAATGGGTAGAGAAGAGCGTTGTAAGTTCCTGTGTGAACCTCTTTTTTGCTGTTTCTACATCCTATTTGAATAAATGAAACACATTACGAAAGTTAATTCAATACAAGAACATGAATAATTTTTTCCAAATCTAAGTTATTAACAGTTTTAGAGTGTATATTGCATTCATGTAATAATGTATCACCACTACCTGTATTTATTTTCGTTTGACGACACTTGACCATGGTTCGATCAGCGGTTAAATTGGATTTATCAACGTTTGGATTTCTTGCTAAAACTTGATATTATAAGAGAGCACACGCTGATATGTCACGCCTACATTTCTGACCGAGATTGCATTATGTAAGATCAAGGTTTTAATACAGATATAACAAAAAATTTAACCATAGCAAGATGAATGACAATTACGTTGATGTCATATAAACCCATCTAAAGTACATGTTCACCTTATTATTATTCAATATACTTTATATAAATGACCTATTGCTTATAGTATCTAGAAAATAGACATGAACACAAAAAATTAATATTGACCATTGAACCACGAAAATTGATTTAAGGTCTGATGAACCTTGCAAGACGAACATCTTCACTTAACAATTGTTCAATACGGCGAATTTATTCGACCAATTTCCTTTAATATCTGATAATTGACCTTACCATAAAAACGAGGTCAAGGTCAGATGAACCCTGCCAGATGAATATGTACACCTTTCAAATCATTTCATCCACCAAATATAGATAAAAAGACGTCCTTTGAAAATTAAACACTGACCAATGGACTATGAAAATGAAAATTAGGTAAAGGTTTGATGAACTCCGCCAAACAGAAATATACACATTTTTTATTGGACTATCCCCGTTATCTGTAAAATTTCAATTAAAAAATAGCTCATTGTTAATAACATTATTCCGCCAATTGAAACTGTCTTATATGCATATCTAATATGCCTAATAACGAATTTATATACTAGTAACGAAAGTGAAAATACTAACTAAAGGCCATTTGTTTGCCCCTCGAATTCCAAAATCAAAAATCATAATCCATGAATCTACCAAATGCAATTCTTCAGATGATCTGTCAATAATCTGTCATATATCAATATTGATATTTTACAATTTTGTCATATTATGCATATAAGCTTCAATCGTTTTCATTTCATGCAAATAGGGTAAAACTGAAAAATGTTCTCATTTTAAGAAATTGCCATTCATATGTAGATATAGGCTAAGGCTTTATTTAAAAAGAGATCTTACGCTTGCATTAAAATGCATTTTACAATGATGTTGATAAATGTAAAATATCCGGTTGTTTAAGATTTTGGCTCCGATCTATTTGTCCAAAAACTCTGCATAAAATTGTCGTTCTAGGTAAAATTTTTAAAAATCGACGTTTATGATATCATGGCAAAGTAAGCTTTCAAAGCCACCAACCAATAATTCTAACTAGAAAACCAACTGCAACAACTGATGTAAAAGCTTCTGAATTTGGACAGACACGTACAGAATATGGCGGTTTTTAACATGTTTGCGACCTATCAACCCTTTACCTGACCAGTGATAGAAGCACACGACTTAAAACAAATTGTTATATTAGTTGAAAGAGGCTTCACTCGTTAGATCGACTTTAATATGTCTTTATTATACTTTGTAACTGTTTCTTTTGACAGACCGATGATTCACAGGAAAAAAGGGTTATTTAGACTTCGTCAATGTTTCACTGGAAATCAAATAAGTTTGAACATGCCTTCATTTTCACATTAATCTTAAGAAAACTGAACAGTTCAGACATTAGGTCCATGTAGAAGTTAGTCACTTACTGTTTTCAACTTGTCACTGTGTGTTGCAGCGAACAAAATCATTGGCATTATATCGTCACTTTCCTTGCAGTAGAGCAAAATTGAGTTCACCCAGTGGACGAGGATATCTATATGAATACAAACAAGTTTAAATTGAAAACAACGTTCAATCCTATGATTGCGTTGGATAAAAACCGCAATTTTTTGGTAGAGGGGTCTAAATACAGCACAAACAACATTTTCCAAAAGACCAAAAAAGTGAAAAAGTATATTTTAACAAAACGCATTTGACTAGTAAGTCGAACAACGGATGTTCTTAAACCCTGCTGACAGCCATGGCGATTGCCAAATAACCGGATCACCAGATGTAACAAAATTGGTCTTAATTACTAATTTAATACCAAACAGAATACAATAAACTTGCGGAAAAGATGGTATACCGCAAACATGAGGTGCAAAAATTGGTACACCATATCCGGATTTCGACAATTAATGTATCTTCAGTGATGTTAGGAATCGAATCGGTATTTGGAAGGCTATATAATTCATCTCAATTTAGGATAGACTCTTGTATTTTGAAGAGTCGAAATAGGATGCACGGATTATATAAACCCGAAGGCAAATATAATACAAGCCCAAACAAATAAATATAAACAAGTCTAAATTGAAAACAACGTTCAAACCTATGATTGCGTCTATGATTGCGTTGGATAAAAACTGCAATTTTTATACGTGTGCATGCAAAACAAATTTCTTGATAGAAGGGTCTAAATACAGCACAAACAACATTTTCAAAAAGACCAAAAAAGTGAAAAAGTATATTCTAACAAAACGCATTTGACTAGCAGGTCGAACAACGGATGTTCTTAAACCCCGCTGACTATATGAATACAAATATATGTATACAAATAAGAAATTAAAGAAGAAACTGTGTGCCTCGCCTGCGATTGCTACTGCAAACAGATAGCCGGAGCTACTGTAAGACTTAGTGTAAATATGTATTATGTTGATTGACAAAATCTATATTCATTTTTAAAAAAAATAATATAAAAATATAACTGTTTTCGTATGGTGTTATTTCTTGATCTTGAAGAGGATTATTTCCAAGTCTATTTATCAATAAAATAAAAAATGAACTCAGAAAAATAAAAAAAAGACAATATTTGCAACATTTTTCTTTGGACACCGTCTTTTGCGTGAAAAAGCGTCTGCCTAAATTTCATAAAAATTTGACAAAGTTATTGATGTCTGAAAAACTTAAACCTTAACTGTATCTTAATGTTAAAAGGAAAATAAACCTTATTCTTTATATCAGTAAAATGCGAAAAAAGGAAAAAAAAAATGTGCATTTACTCTGGATTATATATTTTGATCATGAAAAAGCTTCTGCCCAATTTTGATAAAATTTCACGACAAAATTATTTAGGTTTGATTTTGTCAGTTTTATGATGTCCCACTTTTTTCACTTACCTTAGAGTTCGGTATTTTGTTATACTTATACTTTGTTAAATATTTTACTCTTGATACTGTGTTTTGATCACAAAAAAAGCTTTAATCAAATTTTCATAAGATTTCATCGAGGTTTGACAAAGTAATTGGTTTTCATAAAACTTTTACCACCGACTGATCCTAAGAATTAGCTCCGGCTATCTGTTTGCAAGATATGGCTTTTCAGCACTGTTGCTTTCTGGAATGTATAGATTTATACAAAACAAATATCACAAGCATCGCTTACACAGTCTCTGCTGTCAAAACGCATTACTACATTGCAGAAGATACAATAAAAATCATTACATTTCTGTTGAGTGATCCACATTTGACAAACATGCACTCTTGGTATAATATTATATGTATGCCTACCTTCCGCTGTGATATCTCCTTGTGGATAGTCTTTGAGTGGTTGGTGTAATCCATACCGTCCATCAAATATGATAACAAAGGTTCCTTGGTACTGGATAAACAGTTGATGAGTCATATCATAGGATCTTTGCCCGCCGAAGTCTATAAGATATGATGGCGCTATTTCAACTTCGTATTTTCCTGTCCTTAGTTCTTCTAACACAACCCCCTGAATTGAAGCAGCTGTCATGATTGGAATGGAAGATGACTCTTCTTTTTTGTCACGTGTTGTCTTTTGGTGTTTTTCTTCTGTTGTTTTCTTTTTCTCCTTTTGAGCAGATGTCTTCTTATCTTCGTTTTTTAATTCTTGGTCCTTATAGGAATCTTTGAATAATTCGGTATTAGCAGCACCATGTTCGATTTTCACTGTAGCATTCCCTAAAAGCAACTTCTGCGCAATATTTCCTTCAACTGGAGTTAAAAATTATTTCAATGATCAAGAGATAATAGAGATACTAAAAGTTTATTTGAAGTGTTCATCAGATATTCATATCAACCTTTGAATTGATGATTTTTCCATAATGCTAGTTAAAAGGACAAACTGGGTGACTGTGTGTACATTTCAGTGAACATATTTGTAATATCATGTTGTTGTCGAAACTACCTAATAAACTGCTGACACAGAGATATGTCTCGTCTTTATGTAATTTTGATAGTATAATGCAAAGGTTAAAATTAAAAATGGCGATATTTTATTATGTTAGCTATGCAAAACATTTAGAGTACTTTAACAATGACTGAAGGTGCCGAGTCAAATAACCTCCACTAAATAAAAAAATGCCAATGCTTATAAAACTACATACAAAATACCGTTGACTTGTCCTAAGTGGTTTCGTTTTAATTGACCTTGATACACACTTTAACTTGTAAACTATGCAAACATTTCAAAGTTAATTATTAATGACTGAAGGTACAGGGCCAAACAACCTTCGTTGAATGAGAAATGCCATTGTTTATAGAGCTGCATTCTAAATACCATTGACTCCACATGTGGATCCATTTGGACCATTCTGAAAACAAGCATGTATACTATGCAAAAGTTTCAAAGACAATGAACCATACGCGGGTGGGCTCATGAAATGAGACTTTCAAAATAATACGATAACAACTGCATAAAAAACATCATTTACGAAAAACATGAAAATAACACTTCAAAAACTGTATTCTTCCGATTTCTAACAAAAACGAGTAAAGAGCTGTAACATAGAGGTTAATCTACGACTGACCTAATCGTAAACTTTGCAAAACATTCAAAGCCAAGTGACCATTACTGTTGGGGAGGGAAAAATATCTCCCTGAAAATGAGATGCGTAAATACTACAAAACTTCCTCACCAAATATCCCTGGCCTATCGCTATTGGTTCTCCTAAAACTGACGTAATCCCAACTTTAACATGCAAAGTAAGAACAAATTTCAGAGTCAAAAATAATGATTGAGGGGATGGGACCAAATAATATCCATGAAAATGAGATGTGTCAAAATTATGCTAATAAAACTGTTATCAAATATCGTCAACCCATAAACTAACATAATCACAATCTAATACATTGTTGACGCCAACGCCGGAAACCTTACGCTTAAGACGCACTTTTAGACTTCGTCGAGTTGATACAAAAAATATTTTTATTAGAAACAATAGGGAAATCAGATCGATACGATAAATCGAACAAAGACAAAGGCCATATTAGGTCTTATATCAATATAACGTAAACTTAAAATTCAAAAACCTAAGATAAGTAAAAGCACAATTAACACTGTTTGAACATTTTAAGATAATTTCGGTCTATCAATGAGAATTAAAGAAGTGTTAGGTATATTTCTTTTGCATGCGTCACTGAGTTGCAATCAGCATATAAAAACCTCAGAAAAAACAGCCTCAGCTCCCGTTGATAATCTCGACTAGTAGACATACAAACATTTCATAGATGTTCATTGTCATTTCATTCATCATATATAAATTCAGATAAAAATAAATAGTTGACACAAAAGTATCACTCGCCTTTGAGTTATGTGATGGTGCAAGTGTTAAAATCAAAATGACCATGCCGTAACAAGTTAACTATGCAAACCATTCATCCTCATAGTCAAACTGAATTATCATATTGCTTTTTAACAATATTGATCATGACATATCTTCAGAATAACATATGACATATGCATACCTAACAGTATTGTATCATCACTAGTCACATATATAATAGCTATTAGTTCCCATTATACACTTCCGGATATTAAGTGGAAAAGTTGGATGTGTCATGAGTATTACTCAATAGCTAGGGAAGCGACTACTGTTTTTACAAGAAGACAAAAGTAAATATGTCGGGACGTTTTTTATTATTTAAGTCAAGAATGTTCTGAAGTTACTATGTACTATGATGTCCTTTTGGAAAAGAAAGGGAACGATATTTACCCATAAAAGCCTGCTAACATGAATTGGATTTGTAAATTCATGTGACTTGTGTCAAACATTCTAATTATAAAATAAACAAGATATAAGGAAGCTTTCGATGCTATTACTTTCTGAATATTTAATTGAATTTGACCAGGTCCTGATGAGAAAGAATTAATTCAGCGTAATTTAATTTGATTTAACATGTTCAAGTTATAGAGAAATCTGATAAATTATATAATCCAAAAGGACCAGTATCCACCGCTTGTTCACTGTGTACTAACGTTGAGTCATGGTCAATAAAGTAAGTGAATCAATCAATCAAAGCCATTTTTAACCCCGATAAAGGAATTTTGGAGTGGTGTTGCAACATTTGGAAAATTTTGGGACCAAGTTTGTCGTGTTTTCTATAAATAGAAGGTAAAAACCTGTTTGCCATACATTTTGTTAGTGGTATCATCTTTCTGGACCTGAGGTCTATTCCATTTCTTCCAAAGTAAATAGAGAGCCCGTCAGTAGAAATCCATTTCTTAGGAATCTTTTCACCAATCAAAATACTAGCCAAACAAGACTTCCCAGTATTACAGGCACCTGCTAGGTAAACACGATTTTCATAAGAAGCATAATCGCCTTTAGCTATTAGAGTCTTGAATTCCTTAGTATCCATCCTCGGCAGTCTGTGCAACAACGGGTTTCGTTCAAACTAAAAAATAAAGGTTCTATCTTTGCTTCATTAACCATCGCTTAATATAGTTCAAACATGTCAAAGGTACAGCTTTAACAAAAAAAAACATTATTGTTATTGTTGCCATTTAAATGGAAAATCATAGGCCAGATAATGACAGTGGAGGACCATAGTGACCTTGCAACAAATGGGTGTATACACAACTTCCCGTTGAGTTTATATTTAACAAACACATACATTATTGAAATAGGTAAAACTCAGACGGGCTAAAATACAAACATAACATGTACATAAGAAACATACAACGCATGAAAAAAAGCTTTAAACAAGTTAACAAGTTAATAATATATAAGTATATCGAAAATTATACGAAAATGTTACAAATCAGTGTTTTAAAATGTTTATTGTGGTCTTTGAAGTCATGAGTATTACATGTATTAAAACAAAATTGTATGGGATTGACTCTGAGTGATGTTAGTTTGATACATTGTTGATGTTTATCTTCCTTGTGTCTTTTGGTTTTGCGTGGTGTGGAGGTGTGGAGTTGCTATCTAAACCCCGGTTTTGATAGGGTTCGTGTTGCTCTTTGATTTTCTATGTTGTTTTGTGTACTGTTGTTTGTCTGTTCGTCTTTTTCTTTTTTAGCCATGGCGTTGTCAGTTTATTTTCGACTTATGAGTTTGAATGACCCTTTGGTATCTTTCGCCTCTCTTTTATATATCCATTATCACTTTTATTTCACCTAGATCTGTCACAATTCTACGACACACATAACGTGTTTAATAACCAATGGGTATACAGAGCTTACACTTAAAAAATTCATTGACTTCTTCTAAAACTAAACTGCAACACGTTGTATTTATATGTTAGCGGCAATAAGTGAAATTAGGCATTAAGCTTAAATCCTAGGCAATAAGCTAACGCATAGGCAGTAAGCCTATTGCCTAAATAATGTAAGGCATTACTCTTTAAATCCTAGGATTTAAACTTAAATCCTGAAAATTATGTCCAGGCATTAATGTTAATGCCTAAAACGACGTCGAAAATGTGAGGAAATAAAAAGAAATTTATCCAATGTTAAAATGCATTTTGTACATTAATAAAATAATAAGAACTGAAGTTTGAATGTCAATTACATGAAATCAAATCATAAGTAAAATATTAATGTTAAAACTTATTGAATAAACCTCTTAACATATATGTAAACTGGTTGGAAAGTTTTATCATTGGTAATCGTACTACATCTTCTTATTTTTTTATTGATATAGAATTGTATTGAAATGTATTTTTACCAACTGCTGCGCAGCTATGACACAGCCTTTTTCACAATTTTAATTTTTTCTAGCATTTGTACCTGGTAATCGTCAAATACATTTGTGTAGAGCAGAATTCTTTTGTATATGGACGAATGGACGAATTTGATTCCAATTGACCACTGTTAATTCGTTGTTCCTCATCCATGCAGTGAGCATGTCATGAATATATCCGTTTGACCACTAAATACTACCCTGTGATTGGAGATGTATTGGCTTAAAGTGAACAATAACTACCGGGGTAGTTCTGGCACATAAGTATTCTAATTCAGATATAATGTTAGCTATAGATTTACGACATTTGTCACTTTGCTGTTTATGTGGCACACCAAATATTTTGAAAACATAAACTAAAATAGAAGCCACCTTTAAGGCATTTTTTTGACATAAGAGCTCTAGTAACATATTGTTTTTGTTGATATTGGTACACCGAAATATAAATATAGTTTCCATCTTACTTTGAAAACCTGTCCTCTTTTGTAAAACTCTTTGGATAAACGTGTTTTTCTACTACTCCCATCCCTATGCAAATTTTATTATGTTATAATTTTCTCAAAATGGAAGAAATAGTACATAGGAATCATGAAAAATGTTTGCAAAGCCATTATAAAGCTGTTTTTTCTACGGTCTACAATAATAATAGGTCGCTTTGACATATTTCTTTATGTGCTTTTCCCAAAATACCATACAGTTCCTCTAGAAAAAACATAAACTCAGAAATTTCCTTATCATTCTCTTTTACTTTAGTTACTAGTCTTTCAAAGCTTCAATGGAAAGAAAATGTCATACCATTTTAAATTGTAATAGTATATAGTTGCCTTATTTTCTGATTTTGGAAGTTTAATCTTTGCCAAATGATCATTGTCCTTTTGCTTGGGTATATGATTTTGTTTTCCCCTGATTCAAATTTATATTCCGCAAAGATTCAAGAAATTGGTAGTTGTTGAAATGCTAATAATCCAGATTAAGAAGTGAAAATGACAAGATGGGTATTTTACTAAATGAACACATCCAGTAAAACAGATGGAAAGATGATGTGACTGGCAAAATTTTATATCTTCAGTTGTCTATTTTTGACCAGTTCAAAGCGGCTTGGCCATTGA